GGAGTCAAATTCCGCCCTTTTAACCTTATACTACCCAAAGTGATGTATGAAATATCGGAAGAGCTCCCACAAAGCAGACAAGGGTGGTGCTGTGAGGATAGACGGGATTCTTTAAGTCAAACCCTGGAAAAATAACCCGGGATGTACTTCGACGTTACGGATGCAATGATGAAATTTCCCAAGGATTTTCAGAACTGACTAGGTACAGGTCAGGCAAACACTATTGAGTCAATATTCGTACCCTGTGATTAGTACGTTTCAGCCTAGGATTTTCCGTTTTTACTTCTTCAGGCAGGCCTTTGTTCGTCAGGCCATGAGATACCATGCATAAAATGACCCACGTGATTGGCAACAGATGTTCAGTGATTTACTATCAAACACTTTAAAAATAACGTCACAAACATATGAAACATAAAATGAGTGGCAGAAGAAAAAAGTGCCTACTTTTACCTAGAAGTCAAATGTTTCTATAACGTTCAAGCCATGAGTGCTCCGAAGCAGAGGAAGGTGGGCGTAAGATGCTCATTTACACACTGATTGATAGCAAGTGGTACAGAAAATGAGAGGAGTGCACATTTCTAAAAAAGGGGCCATGCTGCATGACCACGAAGTCTTGGTCAAGAAGTGGTCTTTATACTAGAGTTCCACTCTATTGATTCCAATAGAGTGAATTCTGAAAACCTGATACGCAGATTCTGTTAAATGATGACCTTTGTACAGTTCTCACAGGGGAGCACGACCGCATTTATAAAACAGACTACAATCGTAGCAAAGTTTTTCAAACGCATCCATCTTGAAAAATAGTCCCCTGAACATATGGTCTTCAAGTGAAGCGAACCACAATATATTGGTTGAATGAGACTCTCCTGAGACATGGATATTAACAAACGAGCAGGCAGATAGTACCGTAGCGCCTGGTGGTTGCTAGGATAATTTGATAAAACTCTGAAGCCAATAATGAACCGCGTCCCAAGAAGAAAATGAAACTGACACCTTCAAAGAGCCATCGATGCTCAAATGCAACCAATGCAAACTAGCCTGTGAGTGCAGCCCGAATGCTTTCACTTAGCGTCAGTTACTTGAAAGAAGGCAAATGTTCCTAGCTTTCTAAAGACGCCAACTGCTCTAAAAAAAGTAAAACGCTCAGCTGTGGCATCCTTTCGGTACCTAACTGCCATGTCACGAGAGGAAACCACGAGGTCTGGGATACTGCCAGGTTGCCCAAGCTTAGTCAGAGGGAGTCGTGAGGTAGAGTTCCAGTTCGAACTACAGACCTTCCGGTGAGTAAATTCGTTCTCCAAACAATTAGTCATCTTGGAAGCGATTGTGACTAATGATATCCTGTTCATTTGGAACACATTGCTCAAGCGTGAACACGTTCGCCTGTACAGGTGAAAATTCGCATGCGTCCAACGTGCTTTGATGGATTAGTGGTAACACGCTCGCCTCGCATGTCAGATTTTCTGGGTTCAAATTTCGGCACGACCATTGGGTATGCAATGCTGATGAGCTCCAATAAGAGCTAAACCTGAGTCAAGTGCTTCCTTCTAGTGTGGACTCACCAGAATAATTACCACATTCCAGGAAGACGACTCTTCAAACGAGAGTGAACAAAAACCTATCCTGCGAAACCCCAACTGAAACTAAGGCCATCGTGGGTAATCAGTTAATTTATGCTTGAGACTTATTTACTACCTGCCGACAAAGTATCACTTTCCGAATTGGATATTGCTACAAACCAGTAGCGGAATATTGAACAGGCTAATTACTTTTACATACGCATACCTTTTTTAAATAACTCGGTTTCACTGTCTTTGAACCATAATCCTTATAGGAGTATACCGTTACTTAGCAAACTCCTAAGCATTTTTTAACGAGGATCAGTTG